CCGTTGGTCTATGCGGTCGCATAGACCAAACCGGGTAAAAAAAAAATTTTTTTTAATAATAAATAGAATAAAAAATAATAATAAAAAAAATAGTGCCATTTTTGTCAAATTTTTTTTTTTTAATATTGACTTAAAATTTAAACTCCCCCCAAAATCGATTTTTCACTTAAAAAAAATTTGACTCGCATCGCTATATTCCTGGAAAAATTGAAAATGTTGATTCGAAAAGAGGAATATGCTCATCGAAAACTTGGCACAAAAACCGATTTTTTAAATTTTTTTTTAACTGTTGTCCTGCATTCTGAAAGCTTAACCAAAATGAACATCTCCGCACATCGGAATGCGTGACACACACTCGAACACCCAAACACGTCATTTAGCACCCATTCATGCAACATTAAACGTGTAGTGCCTAGGCTATCATGCAAAAGATGATCGATGACCTAAGAAACAAATTAAACTCAAATAAATTCCTAAACTAATGCAATGCAATAAAATAAATTTAAGGATACAGTGGGTTGCCTCCCACTCAGCGCTAGGTTATAGTCGATAGCTCGACTTTACCATATTGTGTCATTCTGGTGATCCAAGATGGACGGTAGACTTGTCTTTTGAGAAATCACCGCCCCAATAGTGCTTCAAACGCTGTCCATTAACTTTGAATGTCCCCTTGCTATCGTGAGTGATCTCAATTGCCCCATGTGGAAACACTTGTGTAATGGTATATGGACCAGACCATCTCGATCTCAATTTTCCTGGAAACAGCTTAAGCCTGGAGTTATACAGTAACACTTTTTGCCCAACTTGAAAGTCACGCCTCTGGATATGCATGTCATGCCATTTCTTGGTGCGCTCTTTGTAGATCTTTGAGTTCTCATAGGCTTCCATTCTGAGTTCATCAAGTTCATTCAGTTGTAGCAGTCGTTTTTTACCTGCAGCCTTCAAATCCAAGTTCAACTTCTTCATTGCCCAGTAAGCATGATGTTCGATCTCGAGAGGTAGATGGCATGCTTTCTCAAAAACCAGTCGATATGGAGACATTCCTATAGGAGTCTTGAATGCAGTCCTGTAGGCCCACAAGGCATCATCCAGTTTCTTTGACCAATCCTTTCGTGATGAGTTAACTGTGACTTCCAGAATACGCTTCAATTGCCTATTGGATATTTCGACCTGTCCGTTGGTTTGGGGATGATATGCGGTGGCTACGAGGTGCTTGACGCCCTATTTTGATAACAACTACTCGAACTGACGATTGCAGAAATGTGTGCCCCCGTCACTGATTATGGCTCTCGGTGTCCCAAACCGGGCGAAAATATTCTTCTTCACAAACTCAATCACCACTTTCCCATCATTTGTAGGCAATGCAACCGCTTCAACCCATTTCGAGACATAGTCCACCGCCACTAAAATGTATTGATTTGAAAAAGATGGTGGGAATGGCCCCATGAAATCGATCCCCCAGACGTCAAATAATTCCACCTCCAAGATACTACTCAAAGGCATCTCATTTCTTCTAGAGATGTTACCCGTGCGCTGACATCGGTCACACCTCTTTACAAATTCAAACGCATCCTTAAAGAGTGTGAGCCAGTAAAAACCTGATTGGCGAATTTTCGCCGCTGTCTTAGAAGCACCAAAATGCCCTGCATATATTGATGAGTGACAGTTCTCTAATATCAAAGGCACTTCTTCCTCTGGTACACAACGCCGAACGATTTGATCAGCTCCCCGCCTGTAGAGAATGGGGTCTTCCCAAAAGTAGTACTTCAATTCCGCGAAGAATTTCTTCTTCTCGTGACTTGAGTAATCTGGCGGTATGATAGACCTGGCTAAATGGCAGTATGATAGACCTGGCTAAATAGTTAACTATGTCTGCATACCAGGGTGCTTCCATCACACCAAAGATCTGCTCATCTGGGAAGATCTCGTTTATTTCCACTGTCTCTTCCTGTTCTGTGTCCTCAAGCCGAGATAGGTGGTCCGCTACCACATTTTCACTGCCTTTCTTATCCTTAATTTCCTGGTCAAACTCTTGAAGTAGCAATATCCAACGGATGAGGCGTGGCTTAGCATCCTTCTTCTCCATCAAGTATCTGATGGCGGCATGATCTGTGTAGACTATGACCTTCGACCCCACAAGGTATGATCGAAATTTGTCAAACGCATAGACTACAGCAAGAAGCTCTTTCTCCGTAGTGGCATAATTTAACTGAGCATCGTTCAAAGTCTTACTTGCATAGTAGATCACGTGAAATACTTTATTCCTTCGTTGACCCAACACGGCTCCCACAGCATAATCACTGGCGTCACACATTAATTCAAATGGTAGATTCCAATTCGGTGTGATAATTACAGGTGCTGAAGTTAACTTCTCTTTTAAAGTATTAAAGGCCTGCAGACACTCATCAGTAAACTCAAATGTGGACACTTTCATCAGTAAACAGCACAGAGGTTTGGTAATTTTTGAAAAATCCTTGATAAACCTTCTGTAGAATCCAGCGTGCCCAAGAAAACTGCGAACACCCTTCACTGAGGTAGGTGGTGGTAACTTCTCGATCACCTGAATCTTTGCCCTGTCTATTTCAATACCCTTTGCTGAAATTTTGTGCCCTAGTACGATACCTTCTTGCACCATAAAGTGACATTTCTCCCAATTCAACACCAAGTTGGTCTCCGTACACCGTTGTAGCACAAGACTTAGATGCTCCAAGCACTCATCAAATGAAGATCCAAACACAGAGAAGTCATCCATGAATACCTCGATGTATTTCTCAATCATGTCTGAAAAAATAGCCATCATGCAGCGCTGAAAGGTAGCGGGAGCATTGCATAATCCAAATGGCATCCTTCTGTATGCAAAGGTGCCGTAGGGGCAAGTGAAAGTGGTCTTCTCCTGATCGTCTGGTGCCACTGGAATCTGATTATACCCGGAGTACCCATCTAGGAAACAGTAGTGTGAATGCCCTGCTAATCTCTCCAACATCTGATCAATGAACGGTAATGGAAAGTGATCCTTTCGAGTAGCTGAGTTAAGCTTACGGTAGTCAATGCACACTCTCCATCCAGTCACCGTCCGTGTAGGAATCAACTCATTTCTCTCTTTTTCTATCACTGTGATTCCTCCTTTCTTGGGAACAACTTGCACTGCACTGATCCACGCACTATCTGATATTGGATAAATAATGCCCGCATCGAGCAACTTGAATACCTCAGCTCTAACCACTTCCTTCATGTGTGGATTCAATCTCCGCTGGCCATCAATGCTTGGTTTAAATTTTTCCTCCATGAGTATCTTATGCATGCATATGGATGGGCTGATCCCCTTTATATCTGCAATAGACCATCCAATAGCTGTTTTATTCTCCCTTAACACCCGAAGTAGTTTCTTTTCCTCTACCTCACTGACAGTGCTTGAAATAATAATAGGTAGTGTAGAAGATTCCCCCAGGTACACATATCGAAGATGTGGTGGCAGTTGTTTGAGTTCCAATTTGGGTGGTTTCACAATAGATGGCACTGATTTTGCAGTTCTAGTTCCCAGCTCTTCATAGTAGCGTCTGTGCATATATGGCTGGTTACTCTCCAAAAACCTAGCACATGTCTCAATCTCACTTGATTCAGAGTGGGTGGATTGTGAATGTGCAATGCATGCCTCATATGCATCGGAAGGATGATGTAGCCGAAATGTGTCTTGAACTATTCGGTCGACTACATCGATCTGGAAACAACTGTCTGCCTCAGTAGGGAATTTCATTGCTTTGAACACGTTGAATGAGATTTGCTCGTCACCAAGCCTTAATATCAGCTGCCCCTTCTGAACATCTACAATTGCTCTCCCAGTGGCTAAGAAAGGCCGCCCCAAAATGAGTGGGACATCTTTATCTTCTTCCATGTCCAAGATAAGAAAATCAGCTGAAAATATGAACTTCTCCACTTTTACCAGCACGTCTTCAATGATTCCTCTTGGATGTGTAAGGGATTGATCTGCTAACTGTAATGTCACTGTTGTGGCTTTTGCTTCTCCCAGGCCGAGTTTCCTGAAAATAGAAAGAGGCATTAGATTAATACTTGCACCCAAATCACACAAAGCTTTATCAAAATAACAGTCTCCAATAGTACAGGGTACAGTAAAACTCCCTGGATCTTTCAGTTTTGGGGGTAGCTTTCTCTTGATTCTGGCGCTGCATTCCTCAGTCAACATTACTGTTTCGTGTTCTTCTATCTTTCGCTTGTTGGAGAGGATATCCTTCAAGAATTTTGCATAGCTCGGCATCTGGACAAGTGCTTCAGCAAATGGAATGTTGATATGCAGTTTCTTGAAGACTTCAAGGAACTTACTGTATTGCTGATCCATTTTGTGCTTTCTCAACCTTTGTGGAAACGGAATAGGAGGCTCATGAGGGTTAACAGGATTAGTATTTTTACCCTGTGATGTCTTGGAATTCCTCTTAACCCCATCTCCTGATGCATTGTCAGTTTGCTCCACACTTTCTTCCTCCAAGGTTGGCATTGATTCCTTGTTGGCTCCTGAACTTGTTACATGTGGCTCCGGAAGTTGTACTCCACTTCTGGTTGTTATAGCATTTGCATGTTTCTTAGGGTTAACTTCAGTATTGCTGGGTAGGTTTCCCGGTGCTCTACCTGTTATGGAAATTGCTATCTGTCCCACTTGTGTCTCCAAGTTCTTGATCGCTGCACTTTGATCTTGAAGCATTGTTTCCGTCCTTCGCATAAATTGGTTATTGGCTTCCATGTACTGATTGGTGTGTGCCATAAATTTCTCGAACATGTCCTCCAAATTTGGCTTTTTGTCTTGCTGCTGATATTGCCCTTGTGGTCTATTTTGATTCTGGTTG